TATTATTATTATTATTATTATTATTATTATTATTATTATTATTATTATCATTATTATTATTATTATTATTATAATTATTATTACTATTATCATTATTATTATTGTTAGCATAATCGTCATTACTGTTATTATTATTATTACCATTCTCCTTATTCCTATAATTACTATTTATGTTATTATTCTCATTATTATTATTATTACCATCATCCTTTTTCTCATTATTATTATCCTTCTTATTACAATTAAATTATGGTAGTATAATGAATCCAGGAAATGCCGTAAGACCAATAAAAAGTACGTAAGAAAATTAATTAATTATATATAAAATAATAATAATAATAATAATAATAATAATAATAATAATAATAATAAGAAAGTCTATGTTATTACGTCGCTACATATTTTGTTAATTATAAAGTGATATTAATCATGTCCTATAAAAGACGATTGATGAATATTAAGAAGAATAAAAAGAATATATATTCGAATAATAAAGATAAAAAAATATTCATTAAAACATACAGATATGTAGATACAACATAAACAATAATAAACAAAAATAATATATATATAGAGAAAAATATTTGCAGCATGATTAAAATGATAAAAAACAACAAAAATAAAAAATGAAACGTAATGCCAATAAGATAAAGTTAATATTGAAAATCAGAAAAATATATTATCGCTATCACTCAAAATAATGATATTGAGAATAACAGAAAGCAATAAGAAATGGCGATAATTTTAATAGTTAATGATATTGATGATGAAAACATATTAGTGATAATAATAATAATAATAATTCAAAGCTAATATTACTATCAAAAAGTATCTAAAATTTATGTTACTAATAAAAGATAAATTAATGAATTATAATATTAATAATAACAGTAATATCAACAACGATAATAATCAGAAATGATACTGAATAGCAACAATAAAATTAAGAAAAATATAATAAAAGTTTATTTAATACGGCCAACAGTAATATCAAAAATGGTAATCAAAGTGATAATGACATTACTAATAATTTTCGATGTCAACAGTAAATATAATGATATAATAATAATAACAATAATAGGCAAAATAATGATAACAACGATATTACTATTAGTAGCGGTAACATTAGCAGACATCATCATAACAGTAACAACAATAATACCAATAACAATAATAATAACAACAGCAATATTACTAGCAATAATAATAATAATGATAAAGCTATTACTACTACTTCTAATAATAACAATACTACTACTACTAATGATGATAATGATAATGTTATAATATTGTTATTACAATTATTATTAATAATATTATCATAGTTATTATTACTATTACCATTACTATAAGACTATTATATTTATAATAATAATAATTATTATTATGATTATTATTATAACCATTATTATTATTATTATTGTTATTATCATTATTATTATTATCATTATTATTATTATCATTATTATCATTATTATAATAATAATTCTATTATTATTATTACAATGATTATTATTATTATTATCATTATTATTATTATTACAATCATTATCATTATCTTTATTATTATCTTTATCATTATCAATATCATTACTATTATTATCATTATTATCATTATTATTACTATTATCATTATTATTATTATTATTATTATCATTATTATTATTATTATCATTATTATTATCATTATTGTCATTATAATAGTGATAATAAAACAATAATAACAATAATGATAATAAGAAAATAATTACATTACCTATTATAAATGATAATAATAATCAATAAGTGATAAGTGATAATAATGATAACAATATTATTATCACTTACTATTATTATCATTATTGTTACTACCATTATCATTATTATCATGATCTTTATTTTTATTATGATTATTATTATTATCATCATTACCTTTATCACTCTTTTCGTTATCATTTCCATTACTATTATTACTATTAATATTACCATCTCTATTATTATCATTATTGTTATCAATATTATTATCATTGATCATAATTTTCGTTATTACTATCATTGTTATATTATCACTGTGATAATAATAACAATAATATTAACAATAAAATAATAATAACAAAATAAATAACTATAATAAAAAAATATAGTAATAATAATAATAATGATAATAATGATAATAATAATAATAATAATAATAATAATAATAATAACAACAATAATAATAATAATAATAATAATAATAATAATAATAATAATAATAATACAATGATGTTAATAATAATAATAATAATAATAATAATGACAACAGCGCAAATATTAATTCTAATACACTTGTAACAATAATCAAAATTAGCAACAGCGATAATTCTAAAAGTGGTAATATTAATAACCGCAAAAACGATGAAAATATCAACAAATCATCAGAAAACTAAAAAATAATAATAAAAATAAAACCGAGGAATTTACGAACGACAAAAATAACGGATTCATATGCAAATGCAAACTAGTAAAATTGCAACAGGAGAGGCCATTGATGCGATATTAGTCAAGATAATATTTCTCTGAGTTCTGGGCATCGCCGGATAATTTCTCGTTGTTCATGTTGCTGTCTCTCGGCCGGGAAATTCGCTTGAGAAATAGGATAAGGAAATAAAGCGGGAGAAGGAGGAAGAGAGAAGGAAGGGGGGGGAGGGAGGGAGGGAGAGAAGGAAGGGAGGGAGGGAGGGAGGGAGGAAGAAGGAGGAGGGTGAAGAGGGAGAGGTTGAAACGGGGAAGGGAAAGAGAAGAAGGAAGGAGAAAGAGATGATGGAGGGAGAGGAGCAGGAGAGAGGAAGCAGGGAAAAAGAGAAGAAGGAGAAGAAGAACGAGAAGGAGAAAAGAAGAGGAAGAAGGAGGAGAAGAAGGAAAAGGAGAAGGAAGGGGAGGAGGAGGAGGAAGAGGAGGAGGGAGGGGGGTGGAGGAAGTGCAACAAATCATGTTGAGCTGTTGCGCGCGTTCTTAAAATGCTCATAATAATTCCCTCAGCTCCCTTATTAATTGGCGAGTTGAGAGGAGGGGGGGGGGACACGCCCAATTTTCTCGGCACGCGATCCCACGATGAAAGTGCGACTCCTAAGACATGTCGAGGAGAGAGGAGTCATTTCTTTCTCTTTCTCTTCTCCTTCTCTCCTCACCACTCTCTTTCTCCTTTTCCCCTCCTCTCCCTCTCCCTCTATCCTTCTCCCTCTCTCTCCCTCTCCTTCTCTCCTCTCGCATTCTCCAATTGATAACAAATTAACAGCAATCATCGAACTGTCGACGGAGAAAACGCCCCTTTGTTCACGATCAATGCTTTATGATTCCTGTTCTGCTCCGGCCGCAAAAAAAGCGCCGAACGAGAGCGAGAGATTGAGCGAGGGAGCTTGTTAAAATCTTATTGTTTTCATCAGCGAGGCGACGGGGGGAGCAATATCCGATAATGTGTTATTTTTCGTAAGTCTTCAGCCACTGAACAATTTTAAGGAAGAACTTATCTCCCACTTTGCAAGAGGTATCTGCCGAGAGAAGGAGAGAGGAGTGCGCAAAATGGATGGGTGCATAATCATAGAGGAATATTTTTCTCCCTTTTTTTTACTGTAGGGGGGGAGGGGGGAGGAGGAGATATTTCCTTTCTGTGCTGAGAGAATCAGAGATTTCGTACGTGAAGAGAATTTAATGACAAGTCGGTACAGCCATTTTCGAGCGGGAGAAAAAGAGGGGCAGTAACATCTCTTTTAGCGCCTTTTACGACCGGCCGTACTTCGAGCCTGATTTATGTGGCGGCGATGAAGTCCGCGTTAGGTAAAAGACCGTAATTTCGCAGTCCATATATCCAGGTCGTGTTGTTGTTGGTCACTCCCTTTTACCTCCTCCTCTTCCTCCTTCCCTTCTCTTCCCTTCCCTTTCCCTTCCCTTCTCTTCCCTTCCCTTGTGACATCGAGCGCCGGACGCGTGACCTGTCTGATCTACAATCTCAAATTACCTCTAAAATAACCAGCCCGCTAAATGCGCTTCGGAAATTTACGCGGCGGAGTCCTCGTTCCGTGTGTCTCGCATCCGGACGGCGGTCGCTAAACCCGCATTAAGTCTGGCATTAACCTGCATTAGCCGCGGATTATCGTACATCGCCCGTTATTAACTCGGGATTTTGATGAGGACGATTTTCCGGGTCATCTCAGAGGCGATGGGAGGGGGCCGTTATTGATTCAGGGAGTTAAGGAGGAAGGGGATAAGAGAGAGAGAGAGAGAGAGAGAGAGAGAGAGAGAGAGAGAGAGAGAGAGAGAGAGAGAGAGAGAGAGAGAGAGAGAGAGAGAGAGAGAGAGAGAGAATGAAAGAAAAAGGAAAAAAAGAAAGAGCAGAATGAAAGGCGCGTCTCATGTTTACTTCTCCCCGCCGCAGGACGATCCCCAAGCACCTCGCCGTCCGCGGGACCGTCCGCCGGCGTCCAGGGTGTCACCACACGCGCGGGGGACGCCCTTCAACGCCGGTGTCGGGTTCTGGCGTCGCTGAAGGGCCTCGTCATCATGTTTATGGCGGTGTGGCTTACCTCGCCGGAATGCTGACACGGCGTCGTAAGTGAGCGCTATATAAGATGTCCGGTTGATACTCTCTCCACTTTTATATTACGCTTTTATCTTATATACACTTATAATTAATTACATTTTATAAATTACGTTTAAAATAAGTATTCCCCCCAAATATGTGTAATTATTTTCTCTTCCGGGAAAGCGTGTCTAGGAATGAATGAAGGCTGAGGGCCGCGGCGGGCGAGGGCTCGTTCCGTAGCGCCCGCCGCCACTCCGTCCAGTTGAACTCTTTCGTCTTAGACTAAAGTGGAGATGGCGGTGATGGGGAGAGAGAATGATAAATAGGTGGGAGGTCGAACAGGAAGAGGAAGAAAGGGAGACGAAGGACGACGAAGAAAAAATAAAGGGGAAAGGTGAAGGTGAGGAGATAAAATTATAAATGAATTGTTTGACATATTTTAAAGTTAAGTGTATCTTACCTGTTTTTAGCGGCGGCGGCTCTGTCGCGCTGTCGTCGATTCTTGAACCAGTTTCCGACTTGCGTGGGCGTGAGGCCGGTGGCGGAGGCCAGCTCGCGCTTTTTGCTCGGGTTCGGGTAAGGGTCCTGCAGATACCACTCCCGCAGGAGGGATCTCGTGCGCTCCTTGAAGCAGTGCGTCTTCTGCTCGCCGTCCCAGATGGTCCTCGGGAAGGGGAACTTCTTGCGGACGCGGTACTTGTCGACGGGGCCCAGAGGGCGGCCCCGCAGGCGCTCGGCCTCCTGGTAGTGTGCCTCCAGCCACAGCGCCTGCAGGCGGGCGTGCGACGGCTTCGAGAACCGCTGCGACTCCAGGATGGCGTAAAGCTCCCTGAAGTTGCCCACGTGGAAGGCGACGAGCGCGCGCGCGCGCAGCACGGCCTCGTGCTTGTTGAGGTCGTGCAGGTGCGGGTGCGCCACCGGCAGCGACCACAGGAACCGCCCCAGGCGCTCCATGTCGCCGCTCTCCTCCAGAGTCTCGCAGACGGCGGCCACTTGGGCGGCGGTGAAGGAGAGGGAAGGCAGCGCGACCAGCGGCGTGGGCACCACAGGCCCGCCCGAACCACCTACGCTGCCGCCAGAGGAAGCACTAACATTCGCCGCAAGTCCGAGCACCATTGTGTCTCTCACACACTTAACTTGAGTTTCACCACTTTAAGATATATTGCAGTTCACCGACACAATCACTAAGCAGTCGCTACCGCAACCATACTCTACGCGCAGCAGAGTACGTCCTTGGGAGAGTGTTGTCGGCGTGTTGCTGTCGCGCCTCTCGCGGTAGTAATGGAGACTTGCGGTAGCAATGTGAGGAACTTTGACGAAGGGGCGGAGCCTAGCGCCTCACAGCTGTTCTACTTGGGACCTCGCGCTGATTGGTCCGTCGTCCCGGAGGTACTCCGCCTACTTATCTCGCTCAGCCGTTATTGGTCGGTAGTCAATCGAGCGGCCAATGGTGCGGATAGTGGGAGGAGCCTAATCGGAAGTGAGGAAGACAGCCCTCGAGAGGCGGAGCCCAAGTGTCGCCACCGCTTCTCACCTCAGCCAGCAACTGCCCACGGTCGCACTCCGGAATGCAAATAGCCGTGTATTGAGTTACAAAGTACATTGTTTTGTGGCCGGTGTTTGACATTTCAGCTGACATACTTCTCTCTAAATGAAGTGGCTCGGCTACGCGGCAGTGAGAAACTCGGCTACGTAACTTCCGCTGATATTCACCGTAGAACAATGTCGGGCCAACATGTGTGCATGATTCTCGCTTAATAGAGTTAGCTTGACTGGCTGGCTCCTGTATTTACCAACATCGCTCTGGCCTTTTGGGGTCTCTCTTGCTTTCATTTTCTCTTTGGTTCTTGTCTTTTCTTTTTCTCTTCCCTTCCCTGTTTTTCTTTTCTCTTCTCGTCTCTTCTCTTCTCTTCTCTCGTTCTCGCTCACTTGTGTTCCCCTCCTTCCCTGCTTCTTTAGTTCCCGGTCTCTCTCTCTCTCTCTCTCTCTCTCTCTCTCTCTCTCTCTCTCTCTCTCTCTCTCTCTCTCTCTCTCTCTCTCTTGCTTTCTCGCTCTCGCTCTCTCTCGCTATTGCTCTCTCTCTCTCTCTCTCTCTCTCTCTCTCTCTCTCTCTCTCTCTCTCTCTCTCTCTCTCTCTCTCTCTCTCTCTCTCTCTCTCTCTCTCTCGCTCTCTCTCTCTCTCGCTCTTGCTCTCTCTCGCTCTTTCTCTCTCTCTCTCTCTCTCTCTCTCTCTCTCTCTCTCTCTCTCTCTCTCTCTCTCTCTCTCTCTCTCTCTCCTTTTTTTTACTCCCCTTTCACTCTTCCCTTCCATTTCCACTCTTATCCTTCCTTCTCTATTCATATCTTCGTCCTTTCCTCCTGCCTCCTCTTCTCCATCCTTTCCACCCCTCCTCTCGCTGTGCCTTTCTAATCCCTTATTGTTCTCTTCTCCTAATCTTCTCGAATCTTCTTTCCTTTCCACTTCTCTTCATTTCTCTTGTTTCGCGCCCGTTCTCAGTCTCTCTCTTTCTCTCTCGCTTGGTCTCTCTCTCTCTCTCTCTCTTTCTCTCTTTCGCTTGGTCTCTCTCTCTCTCTCTCTCTCTCTCTCTCTCGCTTGCTCTCTCGCTTGGTCTCTCTCTCTCTCTTTCTCTCTCGCTTGGTCTCTCTCTCTCTCTCTCTCTCTCTCTCTCTCTCTCTCTCTCTCTCTCTCTCTCGCACTCTCTCTCGCACTCTCTCTCGCACTCTCTCTCTCTCTCTCTCTCTCTCTCTCTCTCTCTCTCTCTCTCTCGCACTCTCTCTCGCACTCTCTCTCGCACTCTCTCTCGCACTCTCTCTCGCACTCTCTCTCTCTCTCTCTCTCTCTCTCTCTCTCTCTCTCTCTCTCTCTCTCTCTCTCTCTCTCTCTCTCTCTCTCTCTCTCTCTCTCTCTCTCGCACTCTCTCTCGCACTCTCTCTCTCTCTCTCGCTCTCTGAATGTATGGTGGCAGATGACTTGTATTAGTAATGGTGACGGAGTTCGTGTTGTTTTCAATCAGCGATTTATTTACGGGTAATAACGTCGTTTTTCCAGTGTTGTGCTTATAGTTATCGCATTATAGTGACGGCCAAGGGCTGAGTATGTATTGTGCTTATGGTGATGTAGGCTTGCTTATGATGACCGTTGGCGATGTCACTCCCCCCCATAAAAAGGTACGGTGATGGAACTAAACGTATTTTGAAACGGTTGTGGAGGCCGACTATATTCATGAGACTATTACGATAATACCCGCGCTGATGTGTAGTAAAGGCTTTTAATTCCTATTATCCGATATAGTGACGTTATCAAAAGTCGTAAATCACCATCATAACTACCATTTTCCCCCCCCTAAGAATTCTCCCTGTTGGTACCACGTCAGTGAAATCATAGTACCAGTCTCAATACAAGTCCTTTTTTTAGTAGTAGATCGTAAAGAACATACTTCAATACGTGTATTAAATGATGCCAGGTTACAGACCGGATTTACTCTCAAGCTGAGTAGAAAATATAGGCCACTAAAAAAAGAGAAATGAAGAAAAAAAACAGAAGAATAAGAAGGAAGACAGACAGAACGGTGGATAAAAAAACAGAAGAGAAAAGAATTGGCGTGCTGGGAAATGATTAAAACTGTACTTGAGTATATATTAAGGCCTTGTAAATATTCCATAATATATTCATCTCTTCGCTCGTCAATTTTTTTCCCTTTTTTTATACCGAACTCGACTCCCCCCCCCACACACCTGTAATAC